TTTTTAATTTAATTTTTAAGAATATTTTCAGGCCGGGCGTGGTGGCACACGCCTTTAATCCCAGCACTTGGGAGGCAGAGGCAGGTGGATTTCTGAGTTCGAGGCCAGCCTGGTCTACAGAGTGAGTTCCAGGACAGCCAGGGCTATACAGAGAAACCCCGTCTCAAAAAAAAAAAAAAAAAAAAAAAAACTAAAAACCAAAAACCAAAATAAAAAAAAAAAGAAAAATAAAAAAAATATTTTCAGGCTTGGGGCATAACTCAGTTGGCAGTGCTTGCCTAGCACATATAAGGTTTGGACCCAATACCACAAGAAATACACTGAGTACATCAGATAATTTTTGATAATTATGTCAGTTGTCTTCCCAAGTGGGGGGATTCAGATCTTGTCGTTTTTCTTTCTTTCTTTTTTTAAATCAAATTGTAATTTTTACTTATTCATACAGGGGTTATAAACACAAAAAAGATGTGGGGAAGGGGATGACAGTGTTCAGGAGGAGTACAGATATCTTTCAGAATAGGGTATTGGCTGGGTGAAAGTTCAGGGGACAGGTCACTATGACTCTGCCTATGATTCACTTGTCCTTATCTAAGTTGCTATTATCCGATAAGGCTACCTATTTACAAGGTCTATGACTACTCAGGTAAATTACCACAAAAGCTGCCTGTTGCAATAGCTTATAGCCATCTGTTTCGATGTTTTTCCACAGAGACCCAAGACTTTGTGTTAGCAGGCATGTATGTCAGGCCCATTGCTGATTTTAGGCCTATGGCTAATTTTAGGCCTTCAGTGTTTAAGCGGGGCTGCCCCTGATATCTCCCCCCCTTCTCCAAGTATAGAAGGGCTGTGGCAATTCTAATCTTGTGAAGGCGGGGATAGAGGCCTGACCTCCAGTAGTTGAAGGGGACCTTGTAATGTCGTTTTCTTTTTTAAACTAAATAATTTATTTTTATTTTTTATGTTCATTGATGTTTTGCCTGCAGGTATGTCTGTGTGAGAGTGTCAGAAACTCTCGAAGTGAAGTTAGAGATGGTTGTGAGCTGCCATATGGGTGCTGGGAATTGAACCCGTGTCCTCTAGAAGAGCAGCCAGTGCTCTTAACAGCTCAGCCATCTATCCTGTCCCTTGTTATCTTTTCTATTTCCTGCTCCCTGTGGTACTAACTTGGGTGTGTCCCCGAAGGAGCTAACATGCCAGCTCTCAATATACTTGGTCCCTAGACCCTAGTGAATGCTTTCAGGGCATTTACTCTGTGACCAGAGGCCACTTTTGCTTCTCTGAGGAGAATTGTGAACTTGGGGCTTAGGCAATGTTCTGTCAGTCTGTGGTGCTGTCCCAGGTCACCTCCTTTACCCACTCCTGCTTTAGAAGCCCAGCTCAGGGTCTCCAGGTCAGAGATCATCCTTCACTGTGACTCGGTGAGGACAGCCATCCCCAGCTGGAAATGGTTCTCTGGGGACATCTGGCACAGCTGAAATTGTCTGACTCTCATGCCTAATGAGGCCCACATGATGTGAACTTCAGCCTGTCCACGATATTCTCAGCAACACTCACGAAGGAATTCAGCCTTTGGCAGAAGAAAAGAAAGAAAGAGGCAGGGTTATTTTCAACCAGCCTGCCTCTTTTAAGAGTGATGAGCTTTTTAACACGCTCCCAAGAAAGCCGTACAAGGGCCTGATGTATAAAGCAAGGATGCTTGCTTGACTCAGTAGCCGAGGATCCCCAACCAATCCACAGTGGAGACTCCCTAGGATTCAGTTTTGTGACCACTCTTTTGTTCTTTCCCTTACAGTGACCTAAGGATAAAGGACTTTTTTGTTTGTTTGTTTTGTTTTGTTTTTCGAGACAGGGTTTCTCTGTGTAGTCCTGGCTGTCCTGGAACTCACTCTGTAGACCAGGCCAGCCTCGAACTCAGAAATCCGCCTGCCTCTGCCTCCCACTGCTGGGATTAAAGGCGTGCACCACCACTGCCCAGTGGATAAAGGACTTTTGATGATGAAACAGGTTGGACCATGTCCTTCCTCATCTCAGAAGGTTTTGGATCTTACCTCCTAAAGATGGCGAAGTTGAGGCCAACATTCTCTGGGCACCAGTTTCCTTCTATGGAAAAAAAAAAACTAAATATGATCAGCCTTTTGCGAATCATTCAGAGACCCAAAAGGATGCCCTTCTAAACTAGGACTGACATGGGTCAGTAATTCCTGCACTTGGAATGTTAGCCAAAAGATTAGGTGTTCAAGGGCATCCCTGGCTACCTATTGAATAGAAGGGTGGACTGTACTATCTGAGCTTCTGTTTCAAGAACAAACTGAACATAAAAACAGTATTCTTCTCTTTTCTTTTAAAAGTAGATAGGTCATGTTGGTCATGGAGGAGTGAGTGTATATTTAACCTCATTATTCTGGAGGCAGAGGTAGAGAGATCTCTGAGTTTGAGGACAGCCTGGTCTATATAATGAGTCCGGGGCTAGTGAGGGCTACATAGTGAGATCTTGTCTTAACAACAGCAAACAAAATAAAAAAAAAAAAGATCCTATTCAAGCACATTTGCAGCCTGCTTTTTCCATTTTCCAACCCATAGATATTGGGGGTCAGGGGACAGAGACACAGCTCCCTGCTGTCACCCACAGCAACCTGAGTTTCCCTAGACTTTTAGGGACTTCAACTCAGACCAAATGGATTTCTGGCTTTAACCAAAAAAAAGTATTCCAGGGCCAGTCAGTATAATGAGGCAGAGTTAGAGATTTTTATTATAGATATTTTGAGGGCTAGAGGGGACATTGAGAACGAAGTAAGACAGGCCCAAGAGTGGGTATAGATTCCTCAGGGGAATGTGGCAATTGATTGGCTTAGCATTAGCTAGACCAGTTAGGTGGCTCTCATGCTAAACCTCAAACAGTTGCTAAGAAGCCCCTCCCCTGTCATTTGATATGTGAGATTGAAGATGCCTTGGATAGAATTACGATCTAGAACCCCTAGGGTTGCATCAGGAGGCTAGTACATGCAGGAGGTTTCTGGTGAGATTCCTAGAAAATTGCCAGTTTACAGCTGGGAAGGGAGGAAGGCCTTGGGCAATTGTTAGTTGTGCTGGAATTATTTTTTTATATTTATTTCTTTATTTACTTTGTGCGTGTTGGGAATATAGCAGAGATCAGAGGACAGCGTTTGACAGTTGGTTCTTTCCTTCCATTGTGTGGGTCTGGAGAATGAACTCAGGCTTGACAGCAAGTGCAAAGCCTTACCAGCTAGCTGTCTTGCCACCTTTATGCTGGAATTCTTTTCTGGCAAGAGGCTTTGACCAAATTGCTGAGTAAGGGGCTTCTTTTTCTCGTCCCAACGTTTTTCCTGCCTCAACAAATATTTCAAATTTTATTCAATCAACTGATTATTGGCATTAAATCATTTTTATTTTTTGTTATTTAAAAACACTCCAATGAATATTGACTTGGGTCAATAGATCTATTTTGAGGAATTTTAAGAATAACCTGTAGGGGGGCTGGAGAGATGGCTCAGTGGTTAAGAGCACTGACTGCTCTTCCTGAGGTTCTGAGTTCAAATCCCAGCAACCACATGGTGGCTCACAACCATCTGTAATGAGATTTGATGCCCTCTTCTGGTGTGTCTGAAGACAGCCACAGTGTACTCATAAATAAAATAAATAAATCTTTAAAAAAAAAAAATAAAGAATAACCTGTAGGACACTGCAAGGAGAATTCAGGCTTCGCAGGCAGATGTGCTGGCTGAGACTTGCAGCATCTCTGGTTGTTTTAGGAAGCAGGTGTCTGAGAGGAGTTGTAAGAGTTATTGATAGGTCGCCTGGGTTTGAAGCCCATTATCACTTTTAGTTAAAGGTCTGAGTGTATTTTTATTCTCCCCGTTCCTGTTTTTTGAGACAAGGTTTCTCTATGTAGTCCTGGCTGTACTAGAACTCGCTCTGTAGGCCAGGTTGGCCTTGAACTCAGAGATCCGCCTTCCTGTGCTTACTGAGTGCTGGACTGAGTGTATTTCTTAACCTGAGCCCCAGTTTCCTCTTCTGAAACCTTTTCTGTGGCAGTGTTGAATACATCAAATGCTGGTCTGGAGGGGCTGAGATGGAGCTAAGTGGAAAAGCACTTAAAGCCCCGGGTTTGGTCCCTAAAGAGTGGAGTGAAATGCAAGCCTAGGAAATGTAACCACAGTACATGGCATATAATAGTCACTCAGTAAAAACACTTGCGGTTATTATATTAAATAAGCAGTATGCTGGTTTTGGGTGGTGGTGGTAGATTAAGAGCTATTTTAGTGATTCAGCTGGTATAGAGGTTGAAGACTTTGAAGCTGGACTAATTGCTCTCCAGCTCTCCTCAGCAGTATGCCTCTGACCATGTTCCCCATCCCCTCTGGCCGCAGTTTCTTCATCTTTAAAACCCAGGTTTCAAGGTTCTCTGATAGTTTAAAGCGTAACACTTCTTAGTGCTTAACACATATGTCATTCAGCTTCTCATCTGATGGCGGCCACATCAAATAATCCAGTAAGGGCTGAAGAAACAGCCCAGTGGGTAAAGGCATTTGCCACTATGGCTAAGGACTTGAGTTCCATCTCAAGGACCCATAAAGTAGGAGGGTCCTGCTTTCTATATGTGCACCGAGGCACGTTCTTTTTTTTGTTTTTGTTTTGTTTTGTTTTGTTTTCGAGACAGGGTTTCTCTGTGGAGCCCTGGCTGTCCTGGAACTCACTCTGTAGACCAGGCTGGCCTCGAACTCAGAAATCCGCTGAGGCACGTTCTCATAGGATAAGATGTCATATAACAGTAACAGAGCGAGAAAGTCTAGAAAGCCGGAGGGAGTGCTGCCACGTGACCACAGCCAGTGCGGAACCTTCACGGTCCTCCTGGGATCCCACCGCTTTCCCAGGAGGCCGCAGTAACGTCGCAACCACTTAAGCAACGACTTCCGGTCCCCCTTGCCCCCCCATCCCGGGTCTCCATTTCCTGTGTAGACGTCATCAAAGGGCGACGAGCCTACGGTTACCAGGAAAAGCTGCGCGGCTGTGTAGGGGTCGCAGGTGATTTCGAGGCGTCTGGCGCGGCTCGGAGTCGCCATGGAGAGCGGAGCGCGGCCGTCGCTCGGCCAGGTCCTCCTGTTGGGCACCAGTTCGATGGTCACCGCCGTGCTGTACTCCATATATCGGCAGAAGGCCCAGGCCGCCCAGGAACTCAAGGTCAGTGAGGGGGGCCTCGCTGGCAGCTCGCACCGGGGCTCACCGGGGAGCCACAGGGCCTCAGACGACGCGCAGCCAGAGGGGACCCCGGCCACCCGCTGCATCGAGGCTGCCCCGCCCCTTCGCTCCAAAGTCCTCGGAGTTAACCCCAGTGCACTGGACGTCATCGCAGTGCTGTAAAAACTATTTCTCGAAAACATGCTGTGAGAAAAACAAGCCGTTGTCCTGGGGGATATTCCATTCTAGGACAACGAGACGTCTACACGTAATCGGACCGTGTGATAAGGCGAAAATCGGGTTGGAGTCAGGCAGAGAAAAGTGTGCAAATATAGGGAAACGGAGAGTTCCGTTTCTTTTGCTATAGTAAAATACTCCGACAGAACGCAACTTAGGAGAGGGAGAAGGGTTATTTAGTGCGCAGTTTCAGGTTACCATCCGTCATCGTGGGGAAGTCCAGGCAGGAACTTGAGGCAGCTACCAAATCACGTCCGAGTCGAGAGAAACAAACACATGCATGCTTAGCCCTCAGTTTGATTTCTCTGCTGTTGTACAGTCCAGAGCCCAGTCCTAGGGAGTGGTATCAGTCACAACACAACAGGCGAGTTTCTCCACGTCAGTTAGAGCTGTCAAGACAGTGTCTTAACAGCTGTGCCTACACAGGCTGATCCAATATAGACAGTTTCTTATTGAGACACTCTTTCCAAGTGATTCTAGATTGTGGCCAGTTGACAGGGGGCTTCGCCGTTTTAAACAAGGTGATATTTGGGGCGGAGATGGAGGATGTGAAGATATTTAAGGCAGGGGTGATTCCAACTTGGAGAACAGCAAACTTAGAGGCTCATTCATTTAACCACTCGGCTCCTGGTTTCTACAGTCATTTCTTTGTATATTATAGTTACTTTAAAACTACATTCTCATCTGAGGGTTGCACTTAACAGCTCACACCACACATTTCTGCTTGGACTTATTTTTGTTAGCTCAATGATTGCCTGAGATAGATGACAGTGGGTATTCGCTGATGATCGCAAACCCAGACATTTGACATTGAAAGGAAATGTCACACAGCTAGTGTTAACTGTCAACTAAGCAGGAGCTGAAATCACCTAGGAGACAAGTCTTTCGGTGCACCTGTGAGGGCTTGTCTCCATTAGGTTAATTTTGATGACAAGGTTTGCCTTGAAAATGGGCAGTACCGTTCTCTGGGCTTGGGTCCTTGACTGTGGAAAAGGGAGAGAGTGAGCAGAACACACAGAGCTCTCCATGGCTCTGTTTCCTGATTATGGATATCATGTGACCAGCTGCTTTAAGCCCCCTTTACTTTGACGTTCTGCCTCAGTCAGGGTTACTTTCGATGTGATGGGACACTGTCACCAAATCAACTTGGGGAGGAAAGTGTTTATTTGGCTTATGCTTCCAAATCACTGTTCATTGCTGCAGGACATCAGAAGGAACTGAAACAGGGCAGGGGCCTGGAGTCACGAGTTGATGCAGAGGCCCTGGAGGAGTGCTGCTTACTGCTTTGCTCCTCATGGGCTGCTCAGCCTGATTTCTTACAGACGGAGATCACCAGCCCAGGGGTAGAGCCACCCACAATAGACTGGGGCCCTCCCCCCTCAATCTCTAGTTAAGCTGGGTTTTAGGGAGGAATTTTTCTCAGTTGAGTTTCCCGCCTTTCAAATAACTCCAGCTGTGTCAAGTTGATGTAAAACTAGCCACTTCCCCAGGTTGAGTGCATCCTTGAACCGTGAAAAACCCAAATAAACCCTTCCTCCCTTAAGTTGTTTTCTTCCAAGTGTTTTATCACAGGGAGAGGCATTGGAACTAAGCCAGCTTGGAACTTAAATTTAGGTCTTTGGGTTAGAGGGTAGTGTGACAGGCCAGGCAGGAGTGAAGATTTCTGTTTTGTCCTTCTCATTGACTGTCAGACTCTTGAAACAGTGCACTCCAAGAAACTGAAATTTCCCCAGGAAATTCCTGCTGCTGGGAGAAGCCAAGGCCCTAGGGGTAGCTAGAGGGAGATCTTATCTCAAAACCAAAACCAAACAAACAAGCACAAAAACAAACCCAGAACAGACAACAACAAAACAAGTTGAAGGGAACCCTCAGATGCACGCTAAGTTCTAGGCCAGCCTGTGGTACTTGAGACTTAGCCTAAAAAAGGATGAAATAATGAACCCTTCCTGGAAAAGCTGTGGGAGTTCTCAGGTTAGACTTTCATCTGTTGGTCAGGTTATGAGCTTACAGAGCTGAGTTTGTACCTTACTCCCCTGTGGGTTTTTTTGTTTGTTTGTTTGTTTTTGTGATGAGAGTGCTTGGTTATTGCATGGCTTCCATGTGTCAGCTGTGGACTGTGTTTTCCTGTCCCTCAAAGTTCATTTATCCTACCTAAAATTCCATGAGATTGTCTTCTCCCTCCCCTTACAGTTTTGGAGGCCGACTCAGATGAGTGAAGGTGTTCAGAATCAAGGATACACTGCAGCTTGAGCTAGCCCCTGAGTCATCAAGGATACACTGCAGCTTGAGCTAGCCCCTGTCTGCTGAGGTTCCTTCTACTGTGTGCCAAGTAGCGAGCACCTTTTATATTCGCTTGTAGAAGTATTCAGGTAAAAGGAGCGTTTTGTTGAACTGGCAAGAAGATGGTGACCTCCAGCCTTGGGGACAAGGAGCCTAGAGCCTTCATGTTCAGGGCCGGACTTCGGAACAGGAGCCTCCGGATTCTCCCTCATCCCTCTCCCCACCTTACCTTAAGTCTGATAGAGCACTTCAGTACTCAGTGTCCAGTTTAATATCTATTTATTTTTGCACTTAGGGAGCTAAGAAGATTCATTTGGGTGAAGATTTAAAGGGCATTCTTTCAGAAGCACCGGGAAAGTGTGTGCCTTATGCTGTCATTGAAGGTGCGTTTGCTTGTTTAGTGGGAGTGGCAGCAACTGCCTTGTTCCAATACCGAATGAAGACCATCTTGGCTGACATAGTTCTTTTACATTTATTTGTTTATTTTATCTTGTGTGGGGGAGGGCAATGTGTAGGTGCCACTCCACACTGGTGGAGGTCAAAGGACAACTTGGGGGTTGGCTCTCTTTCCACCTTCTTGTATGTTTTCCAGGGCTCAGGTCATCAGGCTTAGTGGTGCTTAACCTGCCTACCCTCATAAGAGCCTTTTAATGGTGTTGGGACAAGGTGACCAAGCCAATGTGGACTTCTGATTGTTTCAGAGAGACTCAGTGTGGTCTAGGGTAGTTGTTAAGCACCAAGTGACGTGATTCAGGTGAGGCACTTACGTCAGGCACTTTGCAGCGTGCTCTCTAGATGTGCCTTACAGTGACATGGATGCTGTTGTGTTGATTAGTTAGTGAAGCTCAGCACGTGGAGTCCTTAAGGAGAGGTCAGAGCATCCTTCAGAGACCATCATTGCTTTCTCCCCAGGAGCTGTGCGCTCTGTCAAAGAAACGCTCAACAGCCAGTTTGTGGAAAACTGCAAGGGGGTGATTCAGCGGCTGACTCTTCAGGAGCATAAGATGGTGTGGAACCGAACAACCCACCTTTGGTGAGTGCCCTCTGGCCTCTCTATGCCACCTCACTCGGTCTGTTCTGGGCCCTGGGCTTGCCGAGTCTAGCTTCTTGGAGACTGGATGCAGAGCTGCTTCTCCGTGCCCCCAGTGCTGCTGTGTGCGCTGTGCACTTCCCTTAGAGCCCAGGAAGCAGCTGTCATAGCTCAGGCTCCTAGGCCCACTTCCTCATTACAGAACCTGGTTTTGAGAGGGGACCTGGAATCCGTTGATTCTTAGCACAGTGAAGCGGTAGAACCACTCACGTATAGCTCAGTCACGGGAGGACTTGCTTAAATAATTGTGTGCCTGCCCACAAAGTGAGCCATTTTCCCATCTGCTTCTAGCAGGTTTTTGTCTCAGGTATTCTGTGATGGTGACACAAGGGCGTAGACCTTAAAGGTGACCTCTGTTGCTCCCCGGTGTCCACTGAGACCTGAGGGACCTGAGCCGCCCCTCCTTGCTCTGGACTCACTAATGCTTTAGGACTCACTGAATGGAGACTGGCCTCCAGTTAGGATGGTGGGTCCCTCCTGTGGATTCTGTATGTGCACCCACATGCAGGGGACCCCATGTGTGAGAGTCGGGCGTGGATTCTGTATGTGCACCCACATGCAGGGGACCCCATGTGTGGGAGTCGGGCGTGGATTCTGTATGTGCACCCCACATGCAGGGGACCCCATGTGTGGGAGTCGGGCGCCTGCTCCTCTTTGTTCATCTTTGGTCCTTGCATTTTTTAGGAATGACTATTCCAAGATCATTCACCAGAGGACTAACACTGTGCCCTTTGACCTTGTGCCCCATGAGGACGACGTGTCTGTGTCTGTACGAGTGCTGAAGCCCCTGGACTCGGTGGATCTGGGCCTAGAGACTGTGTACGAGAAGTTCCACCCCTCTGTGCAGTCCTTCACTGATGCCATTGGCCACTACATCAGCGGTGAGCGGCCCAAAGGCATTCAGGAGACAGAGGAGATGCTGAAGGTCGGAGCCACCCTCACAGGGATCGGTGAGCTGGTTCTGGACAACAACTCTGTCCGCCTGCAGCCCCCCAAGCAAGGCATGCAGTACTATCTGAGCAGCCAGGACTTCGACAGCTTGCTGCACAGACAGGAGTCGAGTGTCCGACTCTGGAAGGTTCTAGTCCTGGTGTTCGGCTTTGCCACCTGTGCCATCCTCTTCTTCATCCTGAGGAAGCAGTACCTTCATCGGCAGGAGCGCCTGCGCCAGCAGCAGCTCCAGGAAGAGTTCCTTGAACATGAGGCCCACCTGCTGAGCCAAGCCTCACCTGAGGACAGGGAGAGTCTGAAGAGCGCCTGTGTTGTGTGTCTGAGTAGCTTCAAGTCCTGTGTCTTCCTTGAGTGCGGGCACGTGTGTTCCTGCCGCCAATGTTATCTTGCCTTGCCAGAGCCCAAGAGGTGCCCGATCTGTCGGAGGGAGATCACCAGGGTGATACCCCTGTATAACAGCTAGGGGTCTTGTGGTCACATGGCAAGTGTCCCTCCCCTTGTCACGGTCTGTCTTGAGGCCTTTTGGTGGGGTGGCTGTACCTTCATGTATGATGGAGGGGACACCAGCGAGCTGTGCACCTCCAACAGCTGGGGGTTGCTTCTCAACTTGGACCTGGGGGGGGTCCCATGGTGAGGGCCCCTTCTCAGGAGCTAGATCCATGTGTATGACTGAATAAGACCAATTTGTTGTCCAGGCTCCGTGGCCAGTCCTCTCGACTCCTGCTCCCTAGGGTGTGTGTATGTGTGTGGCAGGGGTGAGTTGGTTAGCCTGGGAAGAAGGGCCTTACAGTCTGGCCTCTTGGGAGACTGCCCAGACTCCTCTACATGCTTCTGCTCAGGGGAAAGAATTTCTAAAGACTTGTCAGGTGGGCAGGCCACAGTGTCTTCCTTACTTGCTTACTTTACTGAGTAATGTTTGCATATGTGTGAAGACAGCAGGTCAGCCATCTGCTTGGCCCATCTGGGTGGGGCACAGGTCAGCAGGAGGACAGGAGGCTCTTCTAGGTGTTTTAGGTGGTAGGCAGCCTGGGTGTTTGCCTTTGACACAGGGAAGGCACTAGAGCTGAGGACGTGGGACTGTTGCCTGGCTTCCCAGGCTGCTCCAGTTTCCCATAGAGATGTCATTAAACGAGAGTGAAGGCTGCTGCTGCCCTGGCCTCTGGCCTTTGTGTCTTCTTTGCTTGCTTTTGCCAAAGAAGGGTGGCCGGGGGGCACCCACACAGCGGGCCTCTCAAGACTACCTCACTGTCCCCAGCACACAGTGGGCCTGTCAAGACAACCTCACTATCCTCAGCACACAGTGGGCCTG